GTACCTTTTAAATTGAACTAAAATCAGTCCATTTCAAATCAAGTTACAAAGGGAACCCTCAACTCATGATTTCATTTGAGATCCTGTTGCCCCGTTTTGGCCATGCCCCACTCTCATTCTGTTGTGGTGAGGTGCCATGCTGTTTTCCCATGGTGAATGGGATTACACTGACAGCAGAGAATGTTTGGTGTTGACACAGCATGCAGCTTTGTTAGTCCTCCAAATCCCCTGCTGTTCCTGAGACCAAACAGCAAAATCTGCTAATTCTTCAAACCAATTGCTTTGGGAATATGAACTGGCTAGAGGAAAGTCCTGTGTTTGTGTAAGGGACTAAATAGTTCTTCCTCGGGTTTTAATTAAGAAAGACTTGGGGAACCAAGTGCTTCCTGTCTGACAGATTGTGCTTTGAATTTTTACGACAGGTTTTGTCAGCACAACTAAATAAACAATGTACACCTTATAAGGATAAAATAAGAGATGGATGAAGACTGCACTACATCTTACCAAATACACACACTGCTGCTTTTGACTATGAACATGTATTGTTTTGACTTATAATGAAAAAAGGTGGAATAAAAGTACAGACACAACATCCACAACAGCTATGATGGTTGGCACGTCTTTTAACAAGGACCTGAAATTGAAAACAGATGTAGGCACATACTTAAGAAGCTTGTCTGACGCAGAGATGAATAAATGTGGAGGACAGTGATTTAAATTTTTGGGTTGCTTAACAATATCCTGTTAAATTTACGTGGGGAAAAAACCCAGTAGATTTGGTAGAAATTCACCATTAAAAATATGGTATTCCAGTATTACTGGATAGCATATATAACTATATATTTCTAAGTGATATAATGTTAATATACTTATCTACTTGAATTACCAAATTTACTCTGTACCTTAAATTCTACTGATAACCACCATAATAATACAGAGTTCATCAGAGTTCATCATAAGTGGCCTGTTCATAAAACACAACAAATAGACTCTCAGAAAAAAAGAGAGAAATGTTCACTGGGGCGGTACTTTATCAAAAGATACTAAAATGTACCATTTAGGTACTAATATGCACACTTTAGGGGTACTTTCAAAGGTACTGCCCTAGTGACAGCTTTTGTACCTTTTTTTCTAGCACATATAGACAGTTGTAAATAGAGTCAAACACACAAAAACAACACACCATCAGCGTAAGAAACATGACACTAAAATAATGCAATAAGCATTAAATAGCAAAATGTTAACGTACTCTACTAATAATGAAAAACAAGAAACAAAATTATTTAAAGTATAATCATATATGTGATGTGTCTTATATGAACTTCTGGAAATGTCCTTTTACAGTCTTTCACTGCAAATTATATGGCAGTTCATATCTTTTTACTTCCAAATTCCACATTATTTTACAGTAAAATTACATATAATTTATACATATACATATACATAAACATATACATATAATACATATAATACATAAATTTTTCACCATATATGGTAAGGTGCCCCGCCCACTGTCTTTAATCCAGCCATGATATAAATTTTTATAAAAATTAATGCGGCAAATGAGTAGTATAGCTCAATTTATAACAGTGCAACAATTGTTTTATGGTTATTTTAAACCATTTTAAACTAAGTTACTATCTATTGATAAGATGAGAGATTTATATTAGTGCTGTCAAACGATTAATCGCGATTAATCGCATCCAAAATAAAAGTTTTTGTTTATATAATATATGCGTGTGTACTGTGTAAATTTATTATGTATATATAAATACACAAACATACATGTATATATTTGAAAAATATTTACATATATATATATATATATATATTTATATTCATATATAATTTATGTTATATATACATATACATTTTCTATATATAAACAAAGCATATTTTTCTTAAATATTTACATGCGTGTATGTGTATTTATATATACATAATGAATATACAAACAAAAAATATAAAATATGTAAACAAAAACTTTTATTTTGGATGCGATAAATCGCAATTAATCGTTTGACAGCACTAATTTATATTCATCTAACATCTTTCATGATAATGAATCAATGTAGTCAATCATTAGCTCATCATTGACAAGATCAGGTCATTTATCCTGTATGCATGTTGTTTGCATAACCCTTTCTGAGAGAAAACAAAGGTTCATGGACTGCTTGGCTTGCATGTTAACAACCTTTCTTGTGCCTAATTGGAGAAGCTGACTCCCCCACACCTTTAAGTCCTTTTGGCCCATTCCAACAGGTTTAATCGCTCTGCTTCAAAGGCTTGTTTTGATGCCCTGAACCTTGTCTCTCCCCAGAGACTGAGGTCTATTCGGCCTTGGGGCCTGAAAAAGGAGAGGGAGGTTATAATGAAAGACAAGAACAGACTGCGTAGAGAAAACACTAAGTAAGTGTGTACAGAACTGGTCATTATCACAGCACAGAGCGTTGTGCCAGGAGCTGTACCATATGACTCTCTCAGTGCTTTGACAGCCTCCTTTTCCTCAAGGGATTGGACTTAAAGCCCCTGTCAGACACTGGCCACAAGGTCAGAGGAAACCTGGACAAAGCAAATCCTGCCACGTTTCAATCAAATGTATCGATCAAGTGTCTGAAGCAGAGAAGTTGCTTAAATATGTGCTGAGTTCATACCTGATGTTTTATCAATATAATTCGGAGACGATATCAAGTGTCAGGAAGTATTTGGGGCTCAGTCCAGACATCTGCGAATGCCTGCGAATCATTTGAAAAAAACATTGCAATATGATACACTTAAATAAGTATTGAAACATTACATCTGCGGTGTGTCATTGTTTATGAAGTCAATCTTTCAGTATTACTGCTGGAGCTAAACCTAAAAAGACCCCTTTAGTCTCAGCCTCAAGCCTGGCCAAAATAATCTAAATTTGTTTTTTGACCCTTTCGGCGTTCCATAGACCAATAAGCAATTAACACTTATAATAGTTTTTGTCATTGACTCCCCAGGTGTTTTTAAGGTTCTTTATAAGTACAATGGGTGCTTCTGAGAAGAATCTGTGTTATTTAAAAAAAGAGTTATTTTAAATTGAAATAATATTTCATAATATTACTGTTTTACTGCATTATTAATTTAATAAATGCAGCCTTGGTGAGACTTCTTTCAAAACATTAAAAATCTAACCAACCCCAAACATTTGAACGGTAGTACAATATGCCAGTAATATTGTAATATTGATAATATTGTAATTTATTAGAATACTGTAATTTATTAGAGGAAGAATGAGATAAAAAAGTGGCATATGCTTCGAATGACTAGACAGTTGGCAAGCCTGGCCATCACATCCTTCCAGCGGGACAGACGTCCTATAGGATGTGTCACTCATATATATATATATGTGAATAGCGTAGCATGGTCATAAACAGAGAGGGGAAGAGGTATAGGGCAGTGAGAGTGTATAATGACAAATAACAACAAGCACATCTTTTATTGCCTACCCTCTATGATCATCTATTAGCATTGAACTTTAAGTCATCCTGCATTGTTCAAATGTACTGCAGACTGAAAAGGCACCATTAGCATGGAGGCAGATAAACATAATGCAGATGCCCTTTGAGATCTTTTCTTCAAACCCCTTGTTGATTCTAGATGGAGGATACAATGTTTGTGAGTGTAGAGAACACAATTAAAGAGCACACTGTCGCCTCAGACTGTAAGGTCAGAAGAAACAATCAATTTACCAGGGAATGACCAATCACTATACACTGTGGTCGATCTTAAATGCCATTGAATGCCATTGGTTTGGGAGTGAAAGAGGTTTGTAAAAGAGGTTTGAGTAAAGGAAGCCTCGAGAGTACTGTAGATGCAATTTGTATGTATTGTTTTTGAAGTATTTTTCCCCATTTATTTTTCCATAGATAAAAAAAAAAAAAAAAAGATATAATAAGTATATAAGACGATACATTAGAAGTGTATTACAAAATATTCAAATACATAAACATTTGATTGAGAGTGCTGAGTGTCTGATTTGTTTGAATGTTTGGGGTTGGTGCAGAATCTTGTGCTCAGCAAGAATGCATTTATTTGAATATTGTAAAATGTTTTCAACATTAATGTTTTTTAAAATGTCATTTATTCCTGTGATGGCAAATTTTCAGGAGCCATTAACCCATTGTCCCAGTGATCGTGTCCTTCAGAAATATGCCAATTTGGTGCTGAAGATACATTTCTTACTGTTATCAATGTTGACAACAGTTTTGCTACTTAATGTTGGTGGAAACTGTGATACAGGTTCGTTTGATTGATAGTTCAAAGTTCAAAAGATAAAAGAATAAAAGTACTCATTTCTTTTTCTTTTTTTCTTTTTGCTGTGCTGTCTTTGTAAATGCAATCTTGCTTCACGATTGTGGTTATTGTATTTCACTGGAAAACCCTTAAATTTCCTGGAAATGGACTGTTGTACTCTTTTGCAGCTTTACTTTCTCCTCTTGTGTGTCGCTATAGAATCAACTGTTGTATAAACTAATGATATTCTGTACATGGATTTTTGTAGAGAGTGTAGCGTGTTTTGGTCTGCCAGGTCAAAGTTGAAACACAGAATTTGTCTCCAAAACACTTCTCAAGAAATGGGTTCATTGTGTTTACTTGAGTTAAAACATGAGCATACTGGATTTTATTATACCTCTTTTATGTTATCATTCTCCCCACATGAATCTATCACTATTTAGGAAAAATCTGCTGCAGTTTTCACAAAGATTTCAGTGCTATCATGAATAATGCTTTTGAGGCCACACTCTTAAAAATAAAGGTTTCAAAAGGGGTTTTCACAGCGATGCCATAGAAGAACACTTTGGGGTTCCCCAAAGAACCTTTCAATGTACAGTTTTTAAAAGAACCATTTTTTTCTTAGTATGAAGAATATTCTAAAGAGCCCTTTTCTACTATAAAAAACTATTTTGTGCAATGGAACGGTTCCATGGATGTTAAAGGTTCTTCATGGAAACACCGAAGAAAAGTAAAGACCCTTTATTTTTAAGAGTGTGCCAGGAACATCTCAATTTTAATTGGCTAGTAGCGTATTGAACTGGGAGACACTTGTGGCAAAACAATATGAATAGCTGAAAGTTAAAGCATTTAGGGTTGTTAGCTGCACGCGGTTGGTGATCCTCTCCGACAATGAAAATCGGCTACAGGTAATTAGCCAGGAATGCTGTTTCTAATAAATTATTCATGACCTCCGACACTAATCAAGATTAGTAGCACCGAGCATAACAGGCAAAATGCAATCAGTTTGGCGTCGAACAATAAAGAGCAATTAACCAAGCAACGGATCTGATAAGTAATATTTCACCCGCTTCAGTCGTGGGTTTAGATTGATTAAAGCTAGTGTGATGCTTATTCTGTCCCAGTTCATTTCTTTACTCAAGCTGCAAAGTGAAAAATTCACGCACATGCTGTTTCAGAGTAGTGCACCACAGGGAATGTCATCAATAATGAATCCTCAATTTTGTCGCACTCCAAGATTCGTACTTACTACCTGCCCCTGAGTTTTCAGTGTGGAGGAGTGCTGTTTTTCCTCCATCTTGCATGTTTTATTGTGCTTTTGTGGATATGGATTTGCTTTGCTGTTTGTTTGGCGTGATTAAATATGTGCCGTGACCTCTGGTTATGTTTCTTTTCACAGCTAATAAGAACAGACGGAAAGATAGAGCAGAGGCACAGCATCTTTTGACCTGAATCCTGAACTACATCAAAGAACTCATGGTAGGTGCTTTTGCTTATTAACATAAACAGAGCATCTGTGTGTTCTTAAAGGGACAGTTCAACTGAAAATGACCCTCATTCTTTTTTAACTATTTACACTAATTTCAACTAGCCAACTTTGTTTGCGAAGGTTATTTTCACTTACTCCGCACACTATAGATATTTTACCTTTACAGAGAATATTACTTATGTTTACTTTGTTTGAAGAGCATGTAATAACATTTTAACTTAGTTTAAATAAAATTTTACTATTTGCTAATCATACTTACTGCAAACAGTATCTAGCATTATTTTCACTTCCTAAGTACAATCACAATAACACATACATTTCTGTAGAATTTCATATGCAGTTTTGTCTATTGTCAGTTGTGTAGTAATGTACAAACCAAGTACTTTCAAACCAAGCAGCTTTCTGTTGATCAGTGGCTAAAATCCATGTAAGCAACTTGAACCTGTTTTGAAATCTGCATAGTGAAATCTTTCACCCTAATGAAAAATTCCTAATGAAATGACTGGATTTTGCCCTCAAAAATCCATTGAATAACGGTAAATGTGACTGCACATTAACACAAAAGGTTAGGTTTTGAAGAATCTTTACACTGCTCTTTGCCATTCAAAAAGAACCATAAATGTTGTCCATATAACTTGTGCAATAGATTCAAAGTCTTCTGAAATCATTCTATGGCTCTGTGTGAACTCAAATTTAGCTTATTATTCACTGAAAATATTTCCAGTTCTCTGCAGCAGATTTCATTTTCCGTGCTGTATATTCAAACTTGGTTGTCACGTTTGGCTACAATGGTATTTGGTGTCAAGATGGTCAAAAGCTTTTTTGCTTTTTTTTATCTGAATGCAAATTCATATTTAAGATTCCAGAGCTTTGGCAGAAGGGAACATTTTCTGTGAATAACAGCTTGATAACATATGACTTCAGAAGCCTCATATGAGCCACTTTTATGGTGTTTTTATGTCATCATTTTTAGTGTGACAGACATTGTCACATTGTATGGAAAACAATTGTGAATAATAATTAGCAAATTGGCATTTCTTGTATTGTGCATTACATACATCATCTCTTTGTGCTTAGGAATGTCTTTCTCTTCACAGCTATGATAATCACTATCAGTACCTCTTTGCATTTTATCTGTGTAGATGGGATATGATCAATTCAGGGAAGCGAGTTTGCTATACATATTAATTGGTTTGTAAATTCATCAATCAATACGACATTAATCCAGTCCCTGCATGTCATTTTTGCCTCTTCCTCACAGTGCACTTTTCATGCACCATATCCAGCAGATAGCTTCATTAAAAAGGAAATGCTACACAAAAATGAACTGGGTGGAAATGCAGTGAAATCATCATGTTGACAGCGTTGTTTGGCTGGTGGAGGGCTCTTGGTGCACAAAGCCATTGTGACACTGTCAACAGCAGGGAGGTGATTGTCTTATACTGAAGCGGCATCTATTATTTCTCTCTGTCATGGCTGGGAGCCGGTCTTTGTGGGGAACTGATTTGCATTAAAACTCAGTGCATTAAAATTCCACACACATACCAGCAGCAATACACATACGTGGTGCTCAAAGTTAAAGGTCCCACTGACAGAGATGCTCTGTTCACCCCTGAAAGCCAACCCTCAAATGCCAAATAAGCAAAATTCTATGTTGATGAAGATTTGTGGTTTGACTTTTATTTTTGGCCTTTGTGTCTTTTAGGCTGCTTTGGCAAAGAAAGCATCTGCAAAGATGGAAATGAAAATCAGCCATCCTGTATTTACTGTGGAAGCTGTCATTTGTAGATGCCGCAGACAGTTTCTAAAGTTAAACTGATGGCACTTTATTACAGATGGTAACTCTCCATAATAATCATCTCCATGCCATCCATCTCAACCCTCTACATTGTGAGTAAATCACTCGCATATGTGACTAAATCTTCACTCTGTGTGACTAAATGATGTCTCACATTAGGCATTGGCTAATAAATTCTTAGATTTTACTCGCCAGTGTGTGAGTTGGAAGCTAAGTATAAGTTTAGCGTAGATATATTTTCACTCACACTCTGGCTGAGCGATTCAGAGTTTCGCTCTCCATCAAGCGATCTGTGCTATTTTTCAATACATCTCGATGGATGCGCAGTGTACCTGTATTTGACGTACCGTAAACTCTAGTGTGAAGGCGCACGACTTGCTGTTGTGTGCTGGGAGCACTATTTCTCACACACACGCAAAGAAAGAGAGAGAGAGAGAGAGCGAGAGAGTCACATTGTATGGAACTGATGCGCTACATGTAAACGATATTCTTTGTTGTATTTTCCTGTCAAAATTACAGAGTTCATTTGGAATTCTTCAGCTTTTAAGAACAATCATAAGATACTGCTGGTTGGCAGTAGGTGGAACTAATACGCAACAAACGGCAATCTCATTGGCTGGTGTTCACGTATAATAATGGAATGTCCCCATAAAACATGGAAACCCAACATGTGTGTTTGTGTGAGTGTATGATTTAGTGACACATATGATCAAGAGGAAAATTAAATGTGAAGACAACATCTTACCCCACATTGCTTAGATGTGGATCAGTCAATTAACAAGACATTTTTACCCTTTTTGTGTACCCTGGAGATTCTGGGAGCTTTTCCCTATTTTAGGACATCTTTCAACATAAGGCTGTTAGAAAAAATGAACAGTCTGTTCTGTGAGCTCTTTGTCACTGGAGAAGCACATGCTTTGAGTTAATATCTTTATTGTGGCACAAATTCTTCAGAAATGTAATGTTGCTTGAAGGAATGCATCTTTCCAATTGAGTAATTGTACACCACTATACTCCAAACCATAATACATACTAAGACTAAATTCCCATGTATTTTCTAATAACTATATCACTGACATCTGTCTACATTTATGTTTATGACTGTCATCACCAAACATATGCACTAAAGGACTGATTCAACATGGAGTGTCAACAAACTCCATATTTCACGGCAGACCAGAGGTCCTCCTCCAGATGGCATATTTGACAGGCCTGTGAGTGATCACTCATTAGACAAACGCTAGTCCAAGCTGTGCTCCATCTGCAGAAGGTTGCTGCTTTCCATGTTTGCTCTGACAGGAACTGGTGTTAAGTGGATACGCCAGACACCCGTCTAGAAACAAAGGGCTGTCCACCTATCCCACCCCCCACCAATTTAGCTTAGACTGTAGAAGCCAAGCCATCATACAAATATGCTGAAGTCTTTACCTGTTTGAAGTCAAACTTTTGCTTTGTGGTTCCATATTTATCTTCTTGGCAAAAATACATTTGTCCTGTTTCCAACATGAGCTAAGATGGAAGACATGAACTTCAGAGCTCAAATGTGGGGGAGTGGACTGTTTGAACTTCACGTTCCTGAGTTTGTGTGATGTTTGGAAAGAGATGAGAAGGAGGGGAGAAGATATTTGCCCTGTAGGGCTTGTGGACTTTTGTGGACTTACTTTGCGTTGACATGCTGAACATAGTGTTTGTGGTCCAACTGTCCATATGTGTTTCTCCCTTCACATAACAATTCAGCACTAATGCAAACCTCACTCTTTAGGTCAGATCAGCTTGACCGCAAATGTTTGTAGGAAACAAACTGATCTACACTAAATCACTAGGACCCATTGACACAGACAGCGATTAAATAGCTTCAAGTTGACAAGTTCATACTGTTGGTTGCTGGAAGCCATTTTTTGATTGGTTGCTGTATCAGTTGGCAAATCACTGCATTCCCACATAGCTAATTTGCATACCATTGAAATGTTGTTGCATCACAATCAATTGCTGTTGTTCGTGTCGCCAAAAGTGACAGTCGCAAACGGTGAAATGTTTGTTTTCTATTCCTGTGCTGGTAGTCAATGCTGTATTTTTAAATCCCCAGAGTTAAATCAACTCTGCTCAGAGTACATATTGTCCCAATCTACAGAGTGTTAAAGTAACACTGAAGCCGAGTTAAAGTTAATGGGATAATTAAGCAATTAATTAATTGATGAGTGAGCATTAGTAAAGAAAACCCGCTGTTAACAATGTTGAAGATGAACAAATACTGTTCAGGCTTTTAGACATGAAAACTTATCACATAATCCTCAACAGTGGTAACTCGGCTTCAGTGTTACTTTAACACTCTGTAGATTGGGACAATATGTACTCTGAGCAGAGTTGATTTAACTCTGGGGATTTTGCTGTGTGATGAGGACAGAGATCCTTTGTCATTGTGGAAAATGTTTTCTTCCAGTTTATTTGCTGTTTTGGGTCAAGGTTCCTGGGAACATTCCCTAAATGGAAATTCATTCACTTTTGGACATTCATTGCCCAGCTTATATTAGATTCTTATGCAATGTGGGATGTTTTTGATTTACCAAGCAAATGATTGTGCAACTGCTCTTTCAAGACCAAAAATATGATGTTATCCTTAAAGGGTAACGTGTAAGAACGCAAAATTGTTTTCTAAGTACGTCACTTGGCAGATTTAATAATTTTGAGAAATGCTAAGAAAGTATTACCTAAATAACCAGTTACATGGTACTAGTGACTTAAGGTTTAATTTAATAAAAAGGGAGAGTCCAGTGCCATGGGAAATCCCTATTGTACTAATGAAATCCCTATTGTACTAATAATTGTACATACAATTGTCGATTTGTATATTTTTATTCCTTATTTACTTGTTCTATTTTTTATTTTTCTATTTATTAATTTTTTATTATCTGTATTTTTGTTCTGTCACTGTCATTCTTTTACACTGTGGACGCTTCTGTCACGAAAACAAATTCCTCGTATGTGTAAACATACCTGGCAATAAAGCGCATTCTGATTCTGATTCTGATTCTGAACTAGTGTTGATGTGATCACACTCACTCACTGTGGGATGAGGAATCCACACTGTTGAAAGAGGCTGTGAAGACAAAGGAGAAGGATTTCAACCAATCAATGTCTTATCGATCTTGCTGAGCTAATGATCTTCTCCATCTGGGCTTGATAACTTCAACA